TCAAGACGCCTGCCATTTGATATAAATAAATAAATAATTATCATATGACTCACCATTTATTTAAATAAAATAAATATATAATTGGTTTCCTTTTGGTACTGGAAAGTGGTATGAAAGGGCTTTGTTCTGAAAAATAAACAAAAATGGTTTGAATTTAAGATACAGTACACATTGATCGGGCTTCAGTGGAATACGATGACTTGGGTACCGCTAATTTTCTTTTCTTTGTTTGTCCTAATACCTCCTTTGCGTTTTATAATACTTTCTAATATTTTAAAGACACTATTCCAGGACGATTTGAAACTTAAGTTGTATTCATGTCAGCGCTTATTCAGCATTGGAATTCTGACTACAATTCATCCACCCTTCTACCTCCAAGAAAAGTTTCTTCTAATTATTACATTTCTGCTCGTAACGATACTCACGAGATTCGAATCCTTTTTTTTCGGGGGGGGGGTGTGTTGGACTTACCTCCACGTGGTGCACCCTGGGCAACGTATACTCATACAGCAAAAAAGTCTATTACCTGGGAGTTGACATCTGACTTCAAACCGCCATGACACCACTGTATCTCATGTTCGATTACTTCACAGTACTCACCTTTTTACACCTTAACTACCTTCGTCTTTCAAACACTCTTCTGCCTCCCCCCCCCCCGCCTTCCCTCTGTGAAGCCTGAAGTCAAAACGCCTGCCATTTGATATAATAATAACATTTCGAGATAACTAACCATCTAACTAAACTCCTATTTCAACTTTATATATAGATTAATAATATTTTCACTAACAAAATCGATATACCCCAAATGGCTTTCTGAATTTCCACCCTCCCCCCCCCCCAAATGCAGCAATGTATTCTAAGTCAACGGTAGCTGCCTCAGTAGTTGACTGCAGTGATGACTCGCATTCTCCTACTGCCAATGCAAAGTTTTTGGGCATTTTAGATGCGGAAGTATGTTTGGACTTGCCCTAAGAATGCGTGCTCCCACCCAATGCCAAATTATAGGAAGATAATTAGATTTATGTCTGCTTTTAGGAATATGCACGCGTATGGAAAAAAAAGCATAGAGGATGTGTAATTGATAAATCTGCCTACCGCTTGCAATTGGCAGAAAGTGCCGTAATTGGATATGAAAATCAACATACATGAATTTGACCTCAAATTGTTATAAACAATACGAAGAAGGTGGTTGACTTCTCTGTTTTGGGAGAAATGTAAGTCTTATAATGCGTATTAAGAGAAAAAAGGATTAAAAATCTCTATGCTTAGTTAACATAATATAAGTTAATAAATATATTTTTCTCATTTCGATATCTTAGTTAAAAAATAGACAATAATCTTACTTCTGACATAGTGAGTTATTTTTCCTATCCTCGAGAACTTTTTGACATGCAAATTAATTACTTAATTTGACGTGCTCCCATTAATGCACTATAGCAGTTTATAAGGATGAATCCTTTCCGTGAATTTAAATAACTTGAATTGTTTTTATTCCTACAATAGCGAGTAGGACTCGGTCTTTGTGTACTATGTTTCATGAAAAAAATGTTTTCGCCTTCTAAAATTAACTCGTTTGTGTACTACTTTAGTGGAACGCTTTCTATTCCAGTAAAATGATCTGCGGGAAATTTCCTCAATTTCGGTCGAATTTGTATTGATCGTGTACCTTTCAAAAGTTTCTAATATACCCTTTCGTCCACCCTCGAGGGGATTACTTACCTCTCACTATCTCTTTCTCTCTCTCTTAGTAAGAGTACCTTAAAGAGTGATATGAGCATATATTGCCACGGGGTTATGGGCGTTTTTTCATCCTTTCATATGACTTTAAAAGTGTTTATTTTAATAAGAGAGGGGTGTGCGATAAACTTACCTCCACGTGGTGCACCCTGGGCAACGTGTACTCCTACTGCAAAAAAGTCTATTAACTGGTAGTTGACTTCTGACTTCAAACCGCCATGACACCACTGTATGTCATATTCGACTACTTTCACAGTACTCACCCCCCACTCTATGCCATATTCGACTATTTCCACAGTACTCACCTTACTGTATGTCATATTCGACTACTTCCACAGTACTCACCTCATTGTATGTCATATTCGACTACTTTCACAGTACTCACCTCAACCGTATGTCATATTCGACCCCTTCCACAGTACTCATCTTACCTCGACTATTTGTCATATTTGACCCCTTTCACAGTACTCATCTTACCTTGTCATATTCGACTACTTTCACAGTACTCACCTCACCTTCTGTAACACTCTGCCTTTGTGTCTCTCTCTTTTACATCTATGAAACACTCTTCTGTTCCCCCCCCTGCCTTTGTGCCTGTCTCTTTTACATCTTTGAATCACTCACTTTTTTGTCTGTTCTTTTACATCTTTGAAACACAGTACTCACCTCACCTTTTTCCACTCTTGTGTCTGTCTCTTTTACATCTTTGAAACTCTCTTCTATTCCCCCCCTCCCTCTTGAATATTTTTCACTTTGATATTTCTTCTCCTTTGTGAAGCCCGAAATCGGCTAAAGGGCTAATGATAACTATCAAAACGCCTGCCATTTACCGAAATCGGCTAAAGGGCTAATGATAACTATCAAAACGCCTGCCATTTGATGTAAATATTTAAAGAAAGTGTTAGCATACACATGACTTCTTCTGGCTTTTTGTCGACCGAAATTAATGTCAAATAGCCAAATTTATAAATTGATTCTGGGGCTAGTTATGTCAGCCGTGAATAAGCAACTGAAGCTTAGATTTTTATTCTAACCTGAAACGCTTGTTTTTTTTGCATTTTTGCGTACATGTGCTAGTTATACACGTGACCTTGAATTGATGTTGATTTAACAATTAAATTGAATCACGCTGATGCATGAGGAAGTTGGGACTGAGGAGATAAAAATGCCGAGTGAAAATACCACAAGTCCCGTCTAACACCAATTTTATGTGCATGCTTTTCATGGCAGTAGGATGCGTTTTAAATGGACTGTGAAAGGTTGGGTTTTGGAGGAAGAAAATGTACGCATAAACTGGGCGTAAAGGATTCGGTGTCTACTGCATCACATTGAACATATGCCTCCAATAAGAATGAAGGCGTTTTGGAAGAAATGGTGTCTTCCCAAAACTTCTGTATCATTCAATTTTCGATAAATTTCCAAAAAAATTATGTTAAACAATCTTTTCTATAATGTTCTAGAGCCAATAGAATACCTCTTGTAGGCCTCCTTACTGTGTCACACTTTCTTTCTACGGTTTTTTGTTTCAATATATGTTAGTCTTCTATTTGTCCATCACTCTACTAACAATTACTACGTAGGCAACCTGATCCTAACTATCATAAACTGCCAGCACTTTTGTCTTTTGCCAATTAGCAAAAAACATTGCCAAAACAAAAATTGCTAGGTTTTGGGAATTTATACCTTTAATGCACCTAACTTAATTTCATTTCAGTAATTATAAAAAGAGAAATTTTAGACACCTTTCAATGTTTGGTCAATTACTGGCAAGATTTTCATTAAATTCGGCTAGTTGTCTAATGATCACACGACTTTTAATAACTACACAGTATTTTTTCTAATTTTTCCTTAAATTAAAATTCATTAACGTACACTATGAAATAAAAGATTCAAAGAGACGGACATCCTATACTGTTTCCCCAACTAGGTTATGTCAAAAAGGTGGTACATTTCTAAACATGTCCTGCAAGTAATCCACTGTCTGACCAGGAATGTCAAGTCACTTTGCATTTACTCTCGGTGAACAACTATTGAGCTAGGGGTGTGGGATAGACTTACCTCCTCGTGGTGCACCTGGGCAACGTGTAATCATACCTCAAAAAAGTCTTTTAACTGGCAGTTGACTTCTGACTAAAAACTACCATCACCCCACTGTATGTCATATTTGACTACTTTCACAGTACTCATCTTACCCTTTCCGAGCCTTTGTGTCTGTCTGATTCTTTTACATCTGTGAATCACTCTTCTGTTCTCCCTCCCGAATTCTTCTCACTTTGATGCTCCTCCTCCCCTCTGCGAAGAATTCACTTTGATGCTCCTCCTCCCCTCTGCGAAGCTTGAAGTCAACTAAATGGCTAATGATAACTATCAAAACGCCTGCCATTTGTTATTAAAATATACTATTGAGCCAAATAAAAAGCACTAACATTATTAAAAACTTATTCGAACAGGTGAACTTAATGCGCCAATCTGATAGAGGTAATTCAAAAAACGGAGTAAACGCCTATATTTCTGTCGAATGCTTACATATCAATGCGAAGAAATGGTGTTTGTAGCAGCGGATTAAGCCACGGTGATTATGGATCACCAATTGAAACATTAGATTTAGACTGAGACAGACAGAATAAGGGACAAATGGGACAATAAATGGAAGACAGAAATTGAAAGAGGAATTGCAAGTAGAAGAGGGAATTCTTAAAGACGAATTGGCGAATTCGTGTGTGTGTGAGAGAGAGAGAGGGAGATTTGTGTTTTAGTTAATTCTTCTGACTAATTTTCCTCATCATCGTCATCTACTCGGCGAATGATTCACGTGTATGCTTCGATACAACTGGACCGAAGAAGGCCTTGTAAGGACTTGCGGGGTCTTCACCCAAGAAATAATCGCACCAAGCTGAAAGGTATTCGTCGCTGCTGATCTTTCCATCCTTATCAGTATCCAGAACCTAAGCATTGCAAAGGAAAGTGTAAATGTGCAAACGGGAATGATTTTAAAAAGCTAACCTATGACCCAAAACTGACCTTGAACATGCCCTCAGCCTCAGCACGACCTACATGCCAGGCTTCTTGAAGATTTCGATATTCTGCTAGAGATATAAAACCGGTTCCCTCGACTTCGACAGCCTTAAAGAAAGTCCAGCCGAACCGATCGATTGCATGTCTGAATTCTCCATTAATCATCGATCGAAGATTGTGAATAAAGTCTTTCTCACTAATCTCAGTGAAGTGAGACCCTAACAAAAAAAGTTAAAAAATAAATTACTTATTAAATTAAGTAAATTAAATTAACCTTGACTCAGGATAAATATGCAAATGATTTATATTGAAATTACATGCGTACTAACCAATAAGCTAATGATTTGATAAGTACTTTCGCAAATCGACCTTCGTAGACATGCATACGAATATTTGTGTTAATCTAGGATGAGATTAGCATAACAAATTTTGCTATTGTTCAAACCGAAGGCTAAAGCTATAAATTAAAAGAACTCAGTTCGACTGATTTGGAATCTAATTATTAACAATTTTTAATTAATTTCATGGGTAATAAATAATAATTAGTCAAAGAATTTTAACATTAAAATTTCAAAATCACATTAACATTGGCCAAAGTGCATTAAATGTTATGGTGAGAAATTAATTCTAAATTACATTAATTTAAATTTTAATGTTTTCCCTATTGCCCTGCACTGTCGGCTATCACTGAGGAGGGGAGAATTCGAAGGGAAAAAATTCTATTTCTGTTAAAAAACGCGTCAGAATTAAATTATAATATCTAACTCTCCCCCAGTTGTCAAATCTTCGAGAGGGCTTCGGAAAAAATTGATTATGGGTTAAATTATCCAGAAAAATAGACAATTCCCCATTTTTTCCAGGTGTTACTTCGACATGCAGATAATTTCATGGGTAAATACGTAACTAGAATAATGATTGGGTCATTAAATTCCAACTCTATTTCTATACATGCGTCAAATGAAACACACAAGCAAACTACTGTAATACTGTTTTAAATCATGCAGTGTAATAATGATGAGTAGTGTTCTCGGATATGGTAATTAGGCTTTTTATAAACAAACCCGTTTCTCCTTTCTCAAAGGCTTGATTAAAGGGAAAAAGATAAGAAATTGGGGTTTTAAGAAGTCCGAGTGCAATAAGTAGTACTTAGCCATATTTGATTCTAATCGTTATAAAATACTCAAAATATATATTATTTTATTAGATTAAATGGAGGGGGGGGGGGGGTTAAGTGATTAAAGTGTACCAATATCGAGCTTTTTCGTAACTTACCTTCCTTGTCAACAGAAAAGTAATGCACCCAAATATCCAGCATGGCTCTAAGAATATTATCAGCCTTGTGTTTGGGGAGATGATTTCTTTGGGCCAAAGCTCGACCGATTTGAATGAAATCATGGCATCGGATCTTGCCGGCACCATGCAGATCCAATCTTCGGAACATGGTTCGCATTTTGCCCTCCCAGACGGGTCCACATTCACATTCTGGATAGTCTTCTGGTCTCTTGTAATTAATTAAAGCACCAAAGAGCTTGGCGGTCTTTCCCTTTATTCCAACATCGAAGAAGTATTCAGCTAGAACACTCTCAAATTGTTCTTTGGTTACTCCCTTCTTTGCAGATGGATCAAGAAGTCTGAATAGCAATTCGGCCTCCTTTTGATTTCCACCAAAACCGACAATTACTTGTCCCATCTCATGTTGTTGCATGAAGCCATCCTTGTCTCCATCAGCCATACCAAACAACGGCGTGACCAAATTCTCAGTAAACTCCGCCTTAAAAGTCCCGTTGATGCACTTAGCCATAGCTTGAACAAAGCTATTCTCATTCATGGTAATAGTGGTTCTCGTGTGTTCGGGACCCTCAGTACAGATTATTCCATACCACAGGTGGATCATAGATTGGACCAGCAGATCACTAAAGTATTGATCACTCTTGGGGAACTCTGAAAGAACACTTGTGGCGATGTCGAGAAATTCATCAATTCCAACCACTCCACGACCATGAGAATCAAATCGACGGAAGATGGTTCGCATTTTTCGAATCCATGTTGGACTAGCTGTGTCCACAGCGGGGTAGTCAGCAAGTTTTTTAAGCTCCATGGATGAGTTAGAGAAGGACGATGACGAGAAACAGTGAAGAAATGTCAGTAGGCAGTATGTGCATGTACAGTAGGTCTGTATTTCGTCCCGGGGGGAGGGGTGTTGGAGGGGGGGGGGAGAGTGGAAGGGTGCTTTATTCACAGCTGCAAACACACACACCAACCTCTGCACCATAACGCGAGCCGGTTCGATAGAGCCTATCAGGAAGCGCCAACTTTTGCTTCTGTGCCGCTGAGGGGAAGGGGAGTAGTTGTGTGCTGCTATGGCTGAACTTGTTTACTTAAGGACATGTTTGCGTGTCCGCTCCACTAAATCCCTGCACACTATGGCTTATTGGTGGATTTTTTAATTAGACACTTGGCTATATTTCACTTCAACGATGGGCTAGTGGCCTTTCTATCAAAAAAGAGTAGGGAATCATGATTCATTTTTTTGCAGAACCACAAAGAAATGTAAAGCAAATAAGTGAAATGGTTTCCAGAATAGACTTTTACACAATTTACGCAGCTTCCAATTTCCACGCCCACAACGGTAGAGGTCATGAGGTGAATTTGTATAGTCACATATTAATTAGCTACCAGGGCCGTAGTAATTAAATATTTACTTATTTCAAATGGCAGGCGTTTTGATAGGTATCATTAGCCCTTTAGTTGACTTCAAGCTTCACAGAGAGGAGGAGCCTTAAAGTGAGAAAAATTCGAAGGCGGAACAGAAGAGTCATTCACAGCTAAGATCATGTGTAGTATTTCAATGACTTCAACTCAGAGTTCCTGGATTAGTTCATATTGATGGTGATAGAAAATTGAATGTTCATATCTTTTCGATAGTCTCAACTTTTTTAAGATTTAACAGAGGGGTGGAACATGAATGCCATAAATAAAGTGAGTGAGGGGGGGGGGTGGTAGAACAGAAGAGTGGTTCACAGATGTAAGAGACAGATAGATACAAAGGTAGGGAGCAGGGTAAGGTGTGTACTGTTGAAGTGTTGGAATATTTATTTATTTAAATCAAATGGCAGGCGTTTCGATGGTTATCATTAGCCCTTTAGTTGACTTCAGGCTTCACAGAGGGGAAGGAACATCAAAGTGAAATAAAGTCGAGAGGAGGGGAACAGAAGAGTGTTTTAAAGACGAAGGTAGAAAATTTAGAAAAAATGTGATATAGTACTGTGGTGGTGGTCGAATATGACATACAGAGGGGTCAGAGGTCAACTGCCGGTTAATAGACTTTTTGCCGTATTTGTATACGTTGCCCAGGATGCACCACATGGAGGTAAGTCTATCGCACACCCCTTGTTGGAATATGACATACAGTGGAGTCGTGGTAGTTTGAAGTCAGAAGTCAACAGCCGGTTTAGAGACCTTTTTGTCGTATGAGCATGCGTGTAAGTTGTCCAGGGTGTACCACGTGAAGGTATATCTATCGCGCACCCCACATTTAGAGAATATAAAGGTAGGCTTACTCAGGCTAGACTAGTAAAAAAGGTGAAGATTTCGTAACTGAGAAAGTTTAATTTATCTTACTTAATTTATACCTAGAGGTAACTGTAAGGGTGTGCCAGTCTTGAATAAATAACCTGATAGCATTTCAACGTCATTATTAAATGACCCTTCGCTTCATTGCTAGAATAATCCATCATAATTATAGGAGATCTTTTTTATCTCTAGGTAGGATTCAAAAACAATTAAGCCCTCAGCGAAATGGAAATTAACTGCCATTTCCAGAAGTTCAGTTAAATATCACTGCATTTTAAATGAAAATGCAATAATTTTGAATTAAATGAATTAAAAGCCAATGAACCTTAAATAAGCAAAGGAATTGACAGGCCCATTGAAATGATTGGAAATTCAGACTGACTGATAATACAATACCCATCGCACATTCAATTACACAGAAAAATTCTTTCTAGTTTAGGTCCAAACATATCACCGAAAATATCATCAAAAGATTTCAAATAAATACTTTTTTAAATTTCAGATTTCAAGTTAAAGATATTCCAAAATTTAGTCAGTAGCAGTTACTCTAGGCAAATAGTGATCATTCATGAGCACATTCGAATTTATGTTGATTCAATGAATGTCAAAAAATATTAATAATTTCTTTTCGTAATAAACAAATAAAAAAATGAAGCAAATGGGTCTGATTCGGTCGGGTTATTGCAATATCATCATATGGAATGAGTGGCCTTCTTGATAGCCAATAGGAAGCAATAAGCAGTGATGAGATCGGATTGGTAATAATTGGTTAAGTTTCATTTGGATATAAAGAGAAGAGAATGTATCTAATACGCTTGATTTAAGCGTAAAATTCTATATAAAACCATATTAATTGACATGCTCTTGGAGAGTACTTTCGGGAAGTGAAAAGGTAGTAATCCTAAAGAGAGGTCAACCACCCACAGTCATCCCCTTCCATCCGACCTCATGAAGAAAGCAAGGCTTCTTCTCAATATTATATCCTTTAATTTTAATACAATTGCACGCATTTTCCTTTTATTTGAAAGCATACTGGGATTGATAAACAGTGATATACGGGGTGACCAAAACATGTATACTCATTGAAACTAATTTTTAACGTGGTGTTCAATTAGAATTTTATTATTTCAAAGACGTATAAATATTTTACAAGTATAATTTATTATTTTTCACTACTTGCTCTTAAACTGACGCCCATTTTGATCCAAACACTGCTGACAACACCAAGCAATGGAATCGCACACATCGTGAAAGAATTCCCTTGGGATTTGGACGCATTCGTGTCAAATAGCTTCTCTTAATTCAGTGACTGTTAGAGGTTTCCTAGCGTAGACTTTGTCTTTAAGGTATCTCCATAAGGAACAAAAATCAAGTGGTGTGAGTTCTGGTGAACGGACAGGATATCCAACAAAACCACTTCGTCCAATCCACCTATTTGGCAAGACCTCACCAAGGAAAGGCCTAACAGAGCGATAGTAATATGTCAGTGCCCTTCTAGCTGAAAATAGAACTCTTCATCTTCAAAGTCTTCTCTAATGCTTGGCATAGCAGACTGCTGCTAAATTCTCAAGTAAATGGAACCGCTAACGGTAACGTCAAAAAAAGGAAGGTCCAATTAGTTCTCTAGATGATAAACCGCACCACATCCTAATTCTAGGGAAATTGTCATGATGGCCGACAGCAACGTGTGGATTCTCAGGTTCCCAATAGGCACAATCATGGCGGTTATGTAATCACTTAACTTGAATGTGGCCACATCACTCCACATAATCTTTCTTGAAAAGTCAACTTTTCCCATGCTTTATTCTAAATACCTCTCGTAGTACTATAGTTGAAAAACAATAAAACGATACTTATAAATAATTTTACACACTTGAAATAATAATAAATACGCTACGTTTTTAATTATTTGAACTGCACACATGTTTTTTTGGGAAATCCTGTAAAATTTTTCTTTGATTTACGATCACAAAAAAATCGAAACGTATCAAAATCGATCAATGGGGCAAGAACACTAAAAATCAGAGATAATAGAGAACCATCTTTCTCACTTTAAATTTTTGCAGATTTTCCTCTATTTCACTGCTTTTTATTCCCACGTTCAAAATTTCTAACCTCAGAAATTATATTTCGGGTAACTGAATAATAATTCAAGCTATTTCAGATGCTTTCTCTTAATTGATTGCATTTAAGAGCTTAGCGATGTCTAAACTTATCGGAAATTTATTTATTTTAAATGATAGGCATTATGATAGTTATCATGGGGTGTGAGATAGACTTACCTCCTCGTGGTACACTCTGGGCAACGTATAATCATACGGCAAAATGTCTATTAACTGGCAGTTGACTTCTGCCTTCAAACTACCATGACCCCACTGTATGTAATATGCGACCCCTTTCCTTGTTACTCATCTTACCCTTTGTGAGCATTGGTGTCTGTCTGTTTCTTTTCCATCTGTGAATCACTCTTCTGTTCTCCCTCTCGAATTCTTCTCAATTTAATGTTCCTCCTCCCCTCTATGAAGCCCGAAGCCAACCAAAGGGCTAATGATAACTATCAAAACGCCTGCCATTTTTTATAAATAAATAAATGATAGTTATCATTAACCCTTTAGTTGACCTCTGGCTACACAGAGGGGAGGAACGAACAAAAAACAAAAGTAGAGAAGAGGAACAGAATAGTGATTCACAGGTGTAAGAGAGACAGTTGGGTCATGGTGGTTTGAGTCAGAAGTCAACTGACTGGTTTCTAAACTTTTTTCCGTATGAATATTATTCATATCAAATGGGAGGCGTCTTGATGGTTATCATTAGCCCTTTTAGGTGACTTAACACTTCACAGAAGGGAGGAAACATCAAATTGAAAAAAGTCGAGAGGGGGGGGGGAACAGAAGAGTGTTTCAAAGACGAAGGTAGAAAGGGAAGAAAAAAAGGTGAGGTGAGTACTGTGAAAGTAGTCGAATATGATATACAGTGGGGTCATGGTAATTTGAAGTCAGAAGTCAGCTGCCGGTTAATAGACTTTTTTGTCGTATGAGTATATGTTGCCCAGGGTGCACCACGCGGAGGTAAGTCTATCGCGCACCCCACCTTATCAGATACGACACTTTGTAATGAGCAACTGAGAAGAAGAAGCTTCATACACTTCATGTTAGATTTTACCTAAACGTAGTCACAAAA